GTCAGCTGGTGTCAGCTGCACCACAGTCAGCTGGTGTCAGCTGCCCCCACAGTCACAGCTGTTTGCTGCACAAGTCAGCTGTTGCTGAACCACCGGTCAGCTGCTGTTGCAACCACGGTCAGCTGCTGCTGCAACCACGGTCAGCTGCTGCTGCAACCACGGTCAGCTGTCTGCTGCACCATGGTCAGCTGCCGCTACACCACCGTCAGCTGTTGCTGCAACCCCCACGGTCAGCTGTTGCTGCACCAGTCAGCTGTTGCTGCACCATGGTCAGCTGTTGCTGCACCATGGTCAGCTGTTGCTGCACCATGGTCAGCTGTTGCTGCACCAGTCAGCTGTTGCTGAACCACGGTGAGCTGCTGCTGCACCAATATCAGCTGCTGCTGCACCACAGTCAGCTGCTGCTGCACCACAGTCAGCTGCTGCTACACCACCGTCATCTGTTGCTGCACCATGGTCAGCTGCTGCTGCACCAAAGTCAGCTGTTGCTGCACCACGGTCAGCTGGTCCTAGAGGCATTAACCCTTTCAGGGTCCGTCCTGTAGATCTACAGCTTTAAGTTCAGGGTACAAGCCGTAGATCTACACCAAAATTCTAGCAGCGTCAAATTTAGCGTGACAAGGCTAGTAGGCCTACATCTGAGAGAATGGGTCTGGGTGGTCAGTGTGCACACTATAGAAAAAATCTGGACACCCACATGGCATTGTGGGAACACCGCCAAGTAGTTTTGTTCATCGTGCCTGTCGGCAAGGAAGCTCTCACTCCCCACTCACTCTCCGGGCGAATTCTGACTCGCCTCTTCACAACTTACAGTTCTAAGACTGATGGAAGTGGAGCTGAAAAGGAATTCTATGGTTTTGAACCATATGGTACCATTGTACCATATGGTACAATTGTACCATATGGTACAATGGTGCCATGTCATACAATGGTATCATATGGTACAATGTGCCATATGGTACATTGTACCATATGGTACATTGTACCATTTGGTACATTGTACCATATGGTACATTATACCATATGGTACATTGTACCATATAGTACAAGGTACAGGGACCCTAAAGGAAATAAGTCTCTCTGACTTTTTTGGGATATCCTAGGTTCTCCAAACATATGCTGCTAAGTATGATATTCTATGCAACTTTATTTGTGCATACCTAAATAAACTTGCTTACGATGCCACATGCGCTTGAGTAAGTTTATTTAGGTGTACACAAATACAGTTACATAGATTATCATACATAGCAGCATATGTATAAAATCCTAGGATAACCCAAAAAAGTCAGGGTGACTTATTTCCATAGGGATCCCTGTATATGTACCATATGGTGTCCTGTACCATATTGTACCCTGTACCATATTGTGCCCTGCACCATATGGTACCCTGCACCATATGGTACCCTGCACCATATGGTACCCTGTACCATATGGTACCCTGCACCATATGGTACCCTGCACCATATGGTACCCTGCACCATATGGTATCCTGCACCATATGGTACCCTGCACCATATGTTATCCTGTACCATATGTTATCCTGTACTGTATGGTACCCTATACCATATAGTACAATGTACCATATGGTACCCTGTAACATATGATACCATGTACCATATGGTCAATAGGACGTGTTGGTGGCAGCAGGCAGCAGGCACCAGCCAAGACTGAGTGAGTGGCGACACAAGCTAGCTACTGACTCAGCAGTTTCCAAGACAAAGCGCTCTGTCATCCACCTCAAGTGACGTGTCGAGTTCCTGTGCATTTGTAAATACAGTGGAACCTCTACTTGCGAGCGTGTCCACGTGCGAGTTTTTCCAAATACAAGCAGTCGATGGGTCGATTTTTTGCTTCCATACGCGAGCAAAATTTCCACAAGCAAGCAGACCTCAAGGCAGGTTCCTTGACTCTGGTGAGGGACTCTTGCTCTTGATCTCGGGAATTGTATCTCATTTGTTTGTTGGACTATCTTATTGAAACTTGGGCAATGTATGATGTAAAGATGCTTCTTAATGTACACCAAAAATGAAAGAAATCTAAGAATAAATAATGGAGTTCACTTCTCAGCAATTAGCCACCCCTTAGTGGTAATTTTGAATGGTTTTTATGGTTGTATTCTCGTTTTTTTGGTCTCATTTGATAGAATGGAAGATAAATTACAGAAACAGATATGATATTGATTGCTTTCACTAAGAAAAGTATCTTGAAATAGAGCTCAACCTTGGAGAAATGGTCCATTGCTTGGCTGTTTGTGTAAACAAATGACGTCACAGTAAATCTTATATTTTTTGTGTGAATAAAAATTACAAATTATTTATATAATAATAATGATAATAATAATCATAATAATAATAATAATAATAATAATAATAATAATAATAATAATTATAATAATGAAAGAAATCTAAGCATAAATAATGGAGCTCGCTTCTCAGCAATCAGCTACCCCTTAGTGGTATTTTCGTATTGTTTTTATGGTTGTATTCTCGCTTTTTTGGTCTCATTTGATAGAATGGAAGAGTATATATCATGTTTCTATGTTGTTCATATTGTTTGTTATGTCATACTAGATGAACTGTGATAGATAAATAAGCCGTGTAGATGATATTAGCGAAATTATTCATGAAGTATATTGCCCGGTCTCCAGACAAACTCTCGTCCACCGCTGACACCGCCCATACCACTACATGAATGACATATTTTATTCATTTTAGAGTATATATCAGGTTTCTATGTTATTTATATTGTTTATTATGTCATATTAGATGAAGTGAGATAGATAAATAAGCCATAGAGTTGATATTAGTGAAATTATTGAAGTACAGAATTCCACTGGAACGGATTAATTGCATTTCAATTAATTTAAATGAGGAAAATTGATTCTGCAAACGAGCAAATCCAGTTGCGAGCAAGTAGAGGTTCCACTGCATATAATGGAACATTACTAATATACAACATTTTTGCATATTTTTGTTGTAAACAATTATTGTAAACAAAATAAAGATGAAAATATTAGTGTGTTTATTGTGTTGAATACAACAGTACCATATAGTACCATATGGTACAATGAACCATATGGTATTATTGTACTGTATGGTACAATGTACCATATGGTACCATTGTACTGTATGGTACAATGTACCATATGGTACCATTGTACTGTATGGTACAATGTACCATATGGTACCATTGTACTGTATGGTACAATGTACCATATGGTACCATTGTACTGTATGGTACAATGTACCATATGATACAATGAACCATATGGTATCATTGTACTGTATGGTACAATGTACCATATGGTACCATTGTACTGTATGGTACAATGTACCATATGGTACAATGAACCATATGGTATCATTGTACTGTATGGTACAATGTACCATATGGTACCATTGTACTGTATGGTACAATGTACCATATGGTACAATGAACCATATGGTATCATTGTACTGTATGGTACAATGTACCATATGGTACCATTGTACTGTATGGTACAATGTACCATATGGTACAATGAACCATATGGTATCATTGTACTGTATGGTACAATGTACCATATGGTACCATTGTACTGTATGGTACAATGTACCATATGGTACTATTGCACCATATGGTACCATAAGGTACCATTGCACCATATGGTACTATAAGGTACTATTGCACCATATGGTACCATAAGGTACCATTGCACCATATGGTACTATAAGGTACTATTGCACCATATGGTACCATAAGGTACTATTGCACCATATGGTACCATAAGGTACCATTGCACCATATGGTACCATTTTACCATATGATACCACTGTACCAAATGGTGCCATTGTACCATATTCTACCATATGTTACCATTGTATCATATGGTACCATTGTATCATATGATGCCATTGTACCATATGGTATAATTGTACCATATGGAACCATTGCACCCTATGACACCATTGTACCATATGTTACTAGAAAAAGAAAAAAATTAGAAAAGAAAATTAAAAAGTATAAAAAATGCAAAATAAAAAATGCGATTTTGTGGAAGTCACTGATGTTGCCGCCACCCGGTCATTTTGGGTCAACTTCCCGCCGCTGTATCTCGGTAAGTACTGATCAGAATTTTTTTTTTGTTTTATTACCTTCACAAAAATATTATCTTTAATTCTGTAAGAAAAAATAATTTTTTTTTTTCAAAATTTCTTGGAAACTGGAGCACCACTTCAGATTTTGGCCTTGGACCCTGAAAGGGTTAAAAAAAAGAAGGGAAGTAACCCCGGAAAAGGACGTGCTACCTAAAGTCCTAATGGAAGGGGATTCCCCTTCTAAACATTAACAACTTCCATACTCTCCCCTCCTCCCATCCCATCAATCATCACCAGATCTTTAATAAAGGTAAGTGTCAGTTTGTGTGTATTAAAATTAATATTTCATGTGGTAAATTTTTTTTTTTTTCATACTTTGTGGTGTCTTGCATGGATTAATTTGATTTCCATTATTTCTTATGGGGAAAATTAATTCAGCTAACGATAATTTCAGCTAACGATGAGCTTTCAGAAACGGATTAATATCGTTAGCTGAGGGTCCACTGTATTTAGGTATGCATACTGGTCAGCGAGCCCGTTGTAAGCCTGAGTCGTCGGTAAACAAGTACGTCGGTAAGTGAGGAGAGGCTGCGTATGTTAGTGTAACTTGTATTCTGGCAGTTATATGCATTTACAAGTGGAAAAAATGGTGCTCCGCTTTACGGCGTAGCTTGGAACCTAACCTACCATATAAGTGGGGCCCTACTGTATTCAGATGTCCATATTGATCAGATAAATTTATAAAACTGGGAGTAGCAAAACATCATAAAAGATTATATTTTTTACCTTTTGACTTCTCGAGAAAACCAAAAAGCAAACTATCAAAGAAGCCTCTAACCATTATTGTAATATGCTAACTCTGAAGTGAAACAAAGATCACTGTAAAGTTTCAAAATTCTGAATGTGTAAGATCAGGTTTATTACCTTGCGGAACCACAGATGCAGCTGTGATGGAAGCAGTGCGATCATTCTCAAGCTCCATAACTTCACTCTCAATACCAACATTGTTAGGAGTATTCATCAACTGGTGTGTGTGACTATCTCTTGAGGATGCTAAAGCATCAATAAGTCTGCGACTTTCTCTTTGTCTGCCGCTGTCTGCACGCCCTTGAATACTGGCTAACTTTCGCTCAAGCCCGGCCAGATATTGTGAAGAGTCTTCAAGAGCAATGTAATCACCTGAAATTTTATTTAAATGTTAAAAAATCAAGGTTAATCAAAACAAATTACCTACATATTTTGACAAAACATGACTTAAATAAGGAGTATTCTTGGTAAAATTTATATATTTATTAATTGGGCGATCTCAGCACAGATGAAACATTGGATATGGCTTAATACACCTGCAGCCCCTGTTTACCTAACAGTAAGTAGGTACCTGGGTGTTCACCAATTGTTGTGGGTTGCATCCTGGAAGACATGATTAACCTAAGTTGCCTGAAATTCTCTGCATAACCAGGGGCTTTCTATATAGTATGCCAATGAAGTCTGTCAGCTAAGCCTGTAATAGTTGAAATCATGTACATATAATATAGATGGTACAAAAAACACAAGAAGGCCTCATCTAATTGGCTTACCTCGAGTTTTGAACAGCTCCCAACTCGAACAATTATGTAAGTGTATTTTTGTAAGTGCTTTGTGTATTTTGGGGGGTTTGAAATGGAGTAATCTAATTTACATTATCCCTTATGGGAACCAATTCATTTGGTAACGGCACTCGAACAGCCTCCTGGAATGAATTAAGCTCGTAACTCGAGGTACCACCGTACAGTACATGGTAACCAGGCTCAAATTATAGAAACAATTGGGATTTGAAGATGCTCTATGACCAAAGTTGTATGACCCATTACAAACATTCTGGAATGGCTCCAATAACTTCCAAAACCTGCAACACAGGAGGCATCGCTGCGGCTGAGCTGTGACGTAACAGGGTATGGTCTCCTCTGGAATGGTGAAGCAGTCATCATGGAGTAGTCGCTTCAGGATTCACTCAACCTGGGGCACCACCTGCTGGTGTCCTTGAGTGAGGCATCGTCAGTACTCGGCAACTGGGCAGGACTTCTTCTGGCAAGTGACTCAGGAGGACATTTCTCGACTGGTACTGTTGCTGGGGCTCTCACTGCCAGCAAGTGTGGAGTGAATCATGGCAGGGACAACTCAAGCAAAACATCTGGGAGTAGCAGCAGCATACACCGTAGCTGGAGTGAGCAGGCTAGTAGTCAAAGTGACATCATCTTTGTGCAGGTTGCTCAATGAAGTTGTGACATGAGTCAGACAGTCGCCTGACTACAGGGCTGCTGTGGCTTGACGGTGTCATACTCTTGACAGTTGGAGTCATAGCAGAGGTTAGTCTAAGCATCCTCAGACTGGTTTTCTACACATAACTACACTCTGAGTCAGGAGGTGGAGTGAAATGAGTCTCAAAGGGGGGCTGTAACAGGTATGACTTAGGCATGATGGCATCTATGAGTGGTGAGCATAAGAGCTTTCTGTACATGGGAGCTCAGACACTCTTAAATTGATGCCTGGACTGACTAATGTCAGATGTCAATGGTCACAATGGGGTGACAGGTAACACGAAGGTGCTACCAGTAGTCTGGGCTCAGTTCACGCTGTGGCCTACACACACACCTGGGCTCAGACCACACATCAGGGCACACGGAAAACTGCACACACCCGCAATGCACATACGGTTACAACATGGCTTGCACTAGCAAATGACACTTTTCTGTGCAAAAATCGACACTAAAATACTTACAAACATTTGAGAACACTGACTGAGAGGAATTAATACATGACATACATCTTCTCCTTGACTGTAATCTTAAATTTCATTCCCACATTCAACACATATCAAAGAAAATTTCCAAATCATTAGGCATCCTTTCCAAGATACAATACTATGAACCACATACAACACTCCTTACCCTATACCACAACACAACACAAGACAGATCTCTTTTTGATGTACCCTGTGTCCATATCTCACTGTGTAAAAACTCTATGCACATAAAGGGTCCCAAAAATTGGAATTCATTACCAGTAAATATTAAAATAACCAGGTCTGAACACCGATTTAAGGCTCTTCTCAAAAACCACCTACTCACCCTCAACTAAATACTCAACACTCAATATTTAACTTCACAAAAAATCTCCCAATTACCTAAATCTTAAAACTTCAAATCTAGATGCCCAAAGTTCATACATTATTAGTACTACATTGTATTACAAATACCTACCCAAAACAATACTGCCTTACACCTAATTGTAGCACTCACATACTATAAACTAATACTTTCAACAACTCACGATGTTATATTCCCATAATATAATTTCAATATGCATTATTGAAACTATTGTAAGTAGAGTAAAACTACTGTCTACTATAAACAAAGAAGATGTACAACTTAAACAAACTATGATCAATTTCTTTAGTATCAACCCTTTCAGGGTCGAGACACTTGATCCTTAGCACCCACTCATGGTCGAAAAATATTCGAAAAAAAGAAAATTATTTTTTCTTATGAAATGTTAGTTTTTTTTTTTTTTGTGAGTATTATAGGCCCATAAAATTTTTTTGTGATCAATATTTACCGAGATATGGAGGCATGAAGTTAACAGAAATTGAACCGCTTATGCCAACATCGCCGACTGCCGGTCACCCGGTAACAGTTTATTTTGTTTTTCCTTTTTTCTTTTATTTTTGAATACAGTGGACCCCCGGTTAACAATATTTTTTCATTCCAGAAGTATGTTCAGGTGCCAGTACTGACCGAATTTGTTCCCATAAGGAATATTGTGAAGTAGATTAGTCCATTTCAGACCCCCAAACATACACGTACAAACGCACTTACATAAATACACTTACATAATTGGTCGCATTGGGAGGTGATCGTTAACCCCTTCAGGGTCCAAGGCCAAAATCTGAAGTGGTGCTCCAGTGTCCAAGAAATTTTGAAAAAAAAAAAAAATTATTTTTTCTTACAGAATTAAAGAGAATATTTTTGTGAAGGTAATAAGACAAAAAAAAAATTCTGATCAGTACTTACCGAGATACAGTGCCAAGAAGTTTGTCGAAAATGATGTGGTGGCGGCAACATCGACGAATTCCACATACGCGCATTACATTATTTTGCGGTTTTTTGTTGTTTTTTCTTTTCTTTTCCAATTTTTTTCTATTCCTACTAACATTTGGGCCTGAGAGACCCAATACTGTATATAATGTATATATTATAAACTCACTGTATTGAACACAATAACCGCACTAAAGTTATTATCATATTATTGTTTACCACTGTTGTTTATTACAAAAAACATGCACAAATCTTGTAAAATTACTAATGTTCTATCATTTATTTACATATTTACAATTCACTGGGCATGGTTTTTTTTAGAACTGCTGGAGCTTGTGGAACTCCTTGAAAAAGGCACCATGCACAGAGGCCCCTTCTTTTCCTCACACATAAACCAAGTGTCTTTGCGTCTTTGTTGCCGTCTTTTTGTTTGTGCACAGACGTTTGCATCTCTTCTGAGCAAATTTCTTCTGAGTTGAAGGAAGTTGTATTATAAAATGTCACCTTCCCTCCTCAAACGCTTGGGTATACCCTGGGGAAATTTCGAGGACCGTGTTGTATAGCAGGTGTTGTTCCCTGGTACTTCATTATGAGTTGTCTGACAACGGGCAAACAAAATTCACCATACGGTGGTCTGTTGCCGGGTCTTTATTTGTACATATTATATGCATTGAGCATTGAAAATGTCAATGAGATGGAAGGAAAAGTTTCTTGTACCACTTGTAACTCTTACGAAACACAGTCAACAAACCAATCTGATGTCACATTTGTAAACCCAAGCGCATGTTTTGTGTATAATCAATCACTGTCACTGGTTTTCAAATACGTTCTTTAAAGTCACTCGAATCAACTTTGCCACTGTCTTGCATTTCATTACGGTGAATGGTTGTCAAAAATGTGAATCTCGTTTGTCATGCCACGAAAATAAATGATGTCATTGGCAGTAAACACCTGCACGTCATCACCCGAGCACTGCGTTGAGCCTGGGCATTGTTTCGATTAGAAGCACTGTGCCACACATATCTGTCTTGTTCACTCGCATGAAATCACTGAGTAATGGGCTTGTGTCCAGTTATCGGTTATATGTATGCCCCCTTTCCAAGATAAGGTGCCATCATGTTTCTCACTACGTCACCTGAGATACCAATTTCCCTCTTGGTATCTTTCATGTTTTACTCCCGGGTATACAAAAATTTTCAACACCAGGCCACTGTCACAATCACAGAGTACAAACAATTTTATCCAAAAGCGTTTCCTCTTGCTCGGTATATATGCTTGAATGGGCAGTCTACCTTTGAACAAAATCAAAGACTCGTCAAATTTCAAGATTCTTGAATGGATAAAAGTATATTTCTGAATTTTGTTTGAGATACATGAAAACATTTCTAATCTTGTATAACCTGTTTACTTCTGTCAGGCCTGGTTTTGTCAGAGAAGTGCAACTACGTAAGAGTAGGATAAACCTGTTCACTGGTATGATTTCACTGAAGACCGGGGTAGAAATTAGCCCATCTGTGGACCAGAAAGCTTTTATATTATGCTTATAGACATGAGGCATAAGCATTATTGTTGCAAAAAGCAAATACATTTTGCAACAGTCGTCTCTTTCACCTGTGTAGTCTTTTACTGTGGTGATAGGGTCGTATTTGCCATGGTGTACTCAAAATCTTATTTACTTTCCCTGACAATAATTTCCATCAATGGCTGGTCAAAGAATAATTCAAAGAATTCCAGTTCATTGGCCGTGGTTCCAGGGGACAAGTAGGTAGAATTCCACTTTGAGAATCATCTAAGTGGTGAGGCTTGGGAAAAAAAATTGGGATTTTGCTGCCAATCCCCCATACGGTTTGCTGGTGGATACTGGACATCATAGGCTGGTTGTGCGGGTGGTTGTGGTTGTGGTGGGTGGTGGCTGGCGCTCCGCTTTGTTCTTGAATGACGAGTGCGCAGCGTGGGTCCTAGCGTGGCCTCGTGAGTCACGCATGGCGGTGCCCCTACCCTCACCACTAACACCATCCACTGATGCCTGTGGTTATCCATGCCAAGTGTAGCCACATCATCCTCACTATCACTACCTAAACTGGTGTTTTGGGCCACGGGATGTAC